TTATGTTTAATTAAAATGTAAAAGTAATATATATATATATATATATATATATATATATATGCATCTTACATTTATAAACTTTTTAATATTAATATTTAAAAAAATGTACACTGACAATAATTAGTACATTGCCGTTCAAAACTTTGGGTTCAGTCATTTTTGAAAAACGTCTCTTCTGTTCACCAAGGCTGCATTTATTTGATTAAAAATTTATATTTAAAAAATAAAAAAAAAACAGTTTATTTGAATATATTATAAAATGTAATTTTTACCTGTGATGTAAAACTGAATTTTCAGCATCATTAGACTGTGACAGTCTTCAGTGTCACATGATCCGTCAGAAATCAGTCTGATATGCTGATTTGCTGCTCAAGAAACATTTCTTATTATAATCAATGTCAAAAAAATTTTTTTTGTGGGAGCCGTGATTGTTTTAATGTCATGACTCTGCATTGATTTTCTCTGTTCCTCTCTGTCTCTGTCGTTCTGTGGAGTGATGTTCACCAAAAACATTGGATGTGAGGAAGAACGACAAACTGAATCCAAACACTGAAATATGCAGAATCTAAGAGGTGCTGTTCTGACCCAATCCTGAATTACTGAGGTTCATGCTGTGCTCTTCATGTGTGTTTGTTGGTCAACAGGGCCCTGATTTTCAGGTATACAGGGTACGGCCCTCTGGATGCGGTAAAATGAACGACTGTGTGAGCATGTGCTGTACTGTACTGTGTGTGTGTTTAACCCAGTGCACACTACTGAACTCCAAATGGGAATGGACAATAAACTAACTTCCTCCCTTTGAACTTACAGTACAATTGAAAGTGCCTCTGTTTTGAGAAACTTGTATGTTTTATCAGCTGTGGTCCAGTAATACGCCTCTTCTACTGTGGTGTGCTCCAAAATCAACATCCCAACTCGAGTTTAAAGGAATAGCTTGCCCAAAAAAGAATAATTGTTCAAAATATAATCACCCTCAGGCCATTTAAGATGTAAATGAGTTTGTTTGTTAATTATAACAGATTTGGAGAAATTTAGCATTACATTACTTGCTCTGCAGTGAATGGGTGCCGTCAGAATGAGAGTCCAAACAGCTGATAAAAACATCACAATACTCCACACACCACTCCAGTCCATCAGTTAATGTTTTGTGAAGAGAAAAGCTGCATGTTTGTAAGAAACAAATCCATCATTAAAGCATTTTAAATTCAAACTGTTACTTCCAGCCAAAATATGACTCCATAATCCATAATACTGCTTTCTGCAGTGAAAAAGTCATCTCATCTGGTTCAGGAGATAAATATGCATAGATTTAGCAGCATTTGCAGGTGAAAACAGTCCAGTTCTTATAAACACACAGCTTGGGCTGGAGTGGTGTGGATGACTTATGGATTATTGTGATGTGTTTATCAGCTGTTTGGACTCTCATTCTGACGGCACCCATTCACTGCAGAGCATCCACTGCTGAGCAAGCGATGTAATGCTACATTCTCCAAATCTGTTTCGATGAAAAAAACAAACCAATTTACATCTTCGATGGCCTGAGGGCGAGTACATTTTTAGCACATTTTCATTTTTGGGCGATCTATTCCTTTAACTGATTCTAAAATCCTGCACTGTGTCTCAATTTGCATATTATCCACCCTAAATAGTGTTAGGTCTCACTCATGAAACACATGTTTGTGTAAATGATCTCATGACAATTTATTTACACAGACATTAATTGTGCTTGTGTTTCATGAACAAGGCCTTCACAATAATATGCCAAAGGCGTATTTTTTCAGTGGAATGTTTTTGAAGCATGCATCCATGCATGTATTTTTTTTCCAGCTAATGTTGTCCCCCATCAGTGTAAAGTTTATGATGGTTTTCTTTCGACTGTTTCAGGTGAAGAAAAGTATCGAGGAATGCAAGGCAGAAGTTGCCAAAGCAGTTTTTAAGTGTACTGTATATGATTTTAACAGAAGTTATTTTAAGGTTATGAATTTAGCTAGATACTAACGCTAACAAGCAAACAGTAGATAAGTGGTATCGATACACACTTAATGACCCAACACTGGCATACTATCTTACTACAAACTCAGAAGTACTTTTACTCTGTACTTTGTACTTTCAGTGTGTAGTGTAGGTGTCTGAATTGGGACGCAGCCTTGGAGTTCAGTTTATATAGCTGTTATCCTCAAAGCATGGGTTACTAGACTAGGTTTGGAGCAGAAAGCCTTATGGGTGTTTGTTTTTGTGATTTTTGACTCACGGAGTGCATCCAATCAAGTGCTCTCAAGAACGACAATGTCCCACCCACTTATTCAGCTATGACAGACACTGGCTATTTAAATAATAGTTATTTACTAAAATAATTATGCTATCTGCTTGCAATAAAAGCTAAATATTTGCCATGTTTACAACCATTCTGCAAAATTTACCCACAATTAGTGTGGGAAGTGTGAAAAAAAAGTGTTCAATTTCGTTTGGGTCTCCTAATTTCTAGTGGTTTTGTATGCATACATTATTATTGTTCTTATTTTGATGTTAACGAAAAACCATGTATGGTCATTATATACTTTTGCTGTCCTTCCGTGTATTTTTCTTTGTAAGGAAACTAAAGTCTGTTACTGAATGCATGTATGAGAATGTATGTAAATTAAACAGTTCAGTCTTTCTTGACGGTCTTTATCATCATTATAACACCAGCTCATCTCTCTGCTGTACGGAAACTGTACTTTATGGGTTCACTAACCCATAAAAATGCCAAGAAAATGCATTTGAGCAGCAGAATAATATAACCGCCAAGGTTAAACGGTCCTAAAGAGCCTATACGCTGATCCAAACGTCCATCATTTCCTATCAGCGTTTTCTCGAACCTCATTGGGCTATTTCATGCGTTGCCCAGTGCTGATTGGTTCCCTCACACAGCGGCACGCTCTGTGCGTCGCGTTCGGTCATCCCTCACTCATTGGGTGAATGGTCCAATGCGCACGCTACGCCCGCCTCCAGCTGCCCTCTGATTGGTCCTCGCAACAGCCACTCATTAGGAACGCCTATAGGAGGCCGCTTTCAGACCCGCAGGCCTTTAGTCCCTCCTTCCATGCGTTTGTCTCGCTCGTCTTCCCGCGTCTGCGCACCTCCGCCAGGCCTAGAGCTCCCCGCCGTCTCCCGCACACTTCACCCTCCGCACGGACAACATGTCTGAGTACAGCGCGATGCCGCCGCCCGGTGCCGGTGGATTCAAGAAAGACGCGTTCGCCGACGCGGTGCAGCGCGCGCGGCAGGTGAGAGATCCGCACTGCGGGCCGCGTTTGTGGGTCAGCGCGCGGGCCGCGGCACATGAGCCGGCGCGCGCCACAATCATCCGTTAGCACGAGCCGCGATCGCGTATGGTTTTGAACAATAGCAATATCTGGTTACTAGTTACCGTTACAAACGAATGCGGTACTATGGTACAGAAATGTTAGCACAGAATAGGTATTTAGCGCGGTATGTAGTGAATGATTATATTCACGTATTACAGTATTTACACTAGTCCACGGGGTAATGTTAACATGGCGCTGCGCGACTGCTGTAAATGTCCAATAAACATCGTATTACCATGGTATTTTCCCCCCTTTTGTACCCTAACAAAAAGAACCACGGTACTACCATGTGTTTTAGTATGTGTAAGGCTAGTACCATGGTTTTATTGGGGTACACATGCTGTAAAACATGCTAGCATCGTGGTATCATGGTAAAAGCGGTGTTATTTAGGATTATAAAAGTAACTATATATGTGTGTATATATATATAATTTGTGGCCATTACTAGGGTAACTTGCAGCAGTGGTTTTAGATTATAGATATACAATGGTACTTTTCATATGCCGTTTTACAGAGTTTTGGACATTTATTTACCATGTTTTTACGTTGTTTTCGAAGGCATTTCAAAGAATACTATGGAAAGCAATAGTGTTTGTCCAAAAAAACAAAGCAGAATTAAGCCCTGTGTAACACTGATGGTGATGATAGGAAATATTTCTCAATCAGCAAATTAGCATTTTAGCATGATTACTGAAGGATCATGTGACACTGAAGACTGACGTAATGATGCTGAAAATTCAGCTTTGATCACAGCAAAAAATTACATTTAGCAATATAGTCACATAGAAAAGCGTTATTTTAAATTGTAATAAAATATCAAATTTTTACTCTGTTTTTGATCAAATAATTGCAGCCTTGGTGAGTCAAGAAACTTTGGAAGATCTGGAACAAAATCTTGCTGACACTAAACTTTTGAACAGTAGTATCTATATATATTTCAATGCATAATTTTACAGGAAAATGTCTCATGTGACTAGCAATTAATAGTAACTTCATGCTGATTTTGCTGTATAAATGTGTGTTTTCCAGATCGCAGCAAAGATCGGCGGAGACGTCACAGGTCCCCCCATGAGCAATAACGGCGGAGCGGAGAGCTATGCCTTCGCGGCACAGAAGCGATCGCTGGACGACGGAGGTACGGCGGCAGAGAGGCGTGCTCTGGATCTGTCCATCTGTCTCTCCTGAGATTGTTTTTGAGCTGTTCTTGTGTTTTCCCCTCAGATCAGCCTGAGTGTAAGAAGATGGCATCTGACCGAGACAACGCTTCAGCACTGTGTACGTCTTTCTTTGCTTTTTTTGCTCATATGAACACACAGTCTCACTTTTAGCTACTCGAAGCAAATGTCTGTGTATTTTTAGTGCAGTGATTTTATCCCTCTCTCATCCACAGCTATCGGAGCCCAGCTGGCTGCCCTTTCCCAGCAGAGGTAAGACAGTCCTCCTGTGCGCTCTGATCAGAGTCGTTAGACAGATCTCAGATCTGAGCGCTTGGGAAGCCAGGAATAACTACACAGGCCTGTATGATTAGGCTGGGTTCGGTTTCCGCTGACTCTATCAGACGTGTTAAGCCAAATACAGGGGTCTTGAGGTGCTCGTGTAAAAGTTGGACTATTTTAATGTGGTGTCTTCAAAACGTAACAAGATCTTAATGTATATCTCTTTTTTTTACATGGATTAATGGCAGTTTTTCTGAAAAGGCTTTCGGCCGCGAGTTAGTAAGAACTGAACGTATGTTTCTGCTGGTACTTTTCCTGACTGTTGCGTTTGTTTTTGTCTTTGTGTAGCGTACGTCCCTCGTCTCTCACAGAAGAGTACAGAGTCCCTGACGGCATGGTTGGGCTCAGTAAGTTCACATTACCCATCATGCACTGGCCCGTACTCGAGCTTTCCTGGGTGAATCTCAGTTGGGTCATATTTTTTGCCAAAATCAAAAGGAAGCAAAAATCTACATTTTCTGCAAGCTTTTTTCAAGATACATTTAGATGTCTTTCCAAAAAAGTACACTTAGAAACTCCAAAAGGACACCAAAGAACTAGGGATGCTCCGATCCGCCTTTTTCGCCTCCGATACCTAGGGTTCGGTATTGGCCGATACCTGATGCGTAGTATATTATTTCTGTGCAACAGTTATTGAGCCTTTCTTTTAACAGTTTTAAATTTCAGTTACTGTGCATGTTAAAAACAATTTATAGTCTTTTCTACACCCGTGTTTTGTTCTCACAGACACCCGGTAGCAAGTAACAAAACAACATTAAATTCCGGCAAGAAGATAAAGTCCTTTTTGCAAAATCATAGACATGTATTTACAAATCAAGTATAATGGGAACACAGAATGATCTTGGAGACTGACTGCTGTAACCGAACGTGACCAGGGTTTAAAGGCTGAACGAATGACTGGCAGCCACAGCGGAGAAAAGAGTTTGTGTGAACTTTAATGTAAGGACTTAAATATTCATATGTAGCTCACATTAAG